CCTATTAGGTTGGAGGCCATCGCTTCTAGGTTGGAGGCCATCGCTGTCAGGTTGGAGGCCAATCCTACTAGGTTGGAGGCCATCGCTTCTAGGTTGGAGGCCATGGCTGTTACGTTGGAGGCCAATCTTATTAGGTTGGAGGCCATCGCCTCTAGGTTGGGTTGGATGGAGGCCATCGCTGTTAGGTTGGAGGCCAATCCTATTAGGTTGGAGGCCATCCCTTCTAGGATGGAGGCCATCGCTGTTAGGTCGGATGCCAATCCTATTAGGTTGGAGGCAGGTTGGAGGCCATCGCTATTAGGTATTATTAGGTTGGAGGCCAATCCTATTAGGTTGGAGGCCATCGCTTTTGGGTTGGAGGCCGTCGCTATTAGGTTGGAGGCCAATCCTCTTAGGTTGGAGGCCATCGCTGTTAGCTTGGAGGCCATCGCGGTTAGGTTGGAGGCCAATCCTATTAGGTTGGAGGCCATCGCTTCTAGGTCGGAGGCCATCGCTGTTAGGTTGGAGGCCAATCCTATTAGGTCGGAGGCCATCGCTTCTAGGTTGGAGGCCACGGCTGTTACGTTGGAGGCCAATCCTATTAGGTTGGAGGCAATCGCTATTAGGTTGGAGGCCAATCCTATTAGGTTGGAGCTATTAGGTTGGAGGCCATGGCCAAAGGTTTGAGGCCATTGCTATTAGGTTGGAGGCCAATTCTATTTGTTTGGAGGCCATCGCTTCGAGGTTGGAGGCCATCGCTATTAGGTTGGAGGCCAATCCTATTAGATGGGAGGCCATCGCTTCTACGTTGAGGCCATCGCTATTAGGGTCGAGGCCAATCCTATTTGGTTGGAGGCCATCGCTTCTAGGTTGGGGGCCATCACTATTATTAGGTTGGAGGCCATCGCTAGCCATCGCCATTAGGTTCGAGGCCAATCCTATTAGGTTGGAGGCCATCGCTTCTAAGATGGAGGCCATCGCTATTGGGTTGGAGGCCAATCCTATTTGGATGGAGGCCATTGCTTCTAGGTGGGAGGCCATCGCTATTAGGTTGGAGGCCAATCCTATTAGGTTGGAGGCCATCGCTTCCAGGTTGGAGACCATCGCTTCTAGGTTGGAGGCCATTTCTATTAGGTTGGAGGCCATCGCTTCTAGGTTGGAGGCCAGTTGATACGAATGGAAGGACCAGGGTCGGAGTCGTACCTCAATTGAGGGCAGTATCTGACCGGACAAATGCTACAGGGTCGAAGCTGCTTGTTGTCTTTCTCAGCCAGGAATTTGAGATCAACCAACCTGAAACCTATGTTTGAAGCAAAGCACAAACATGCGGACCTGAGTGAGGTCCTCTCTGCCTGCACTACCAACACAACACATGAAGACCATGCAAGATTAAGACCGTGATAGTGCACAGTGCGGACAGGGGTTTGAATGTTGGAAGTGAGAATATATGCTGGGATCACTGCTGGGATCGTTTCTGGTCATGTTGCGTCGTTGGAGGAAAGCAAATTTGAGAGAAAGGGGCGGTTCCCGATGTTTCCATGATATGCCGTGAGGCGCAAAAAAAAGAAAACAACTTGTAACCCTATACCAGGACCTTCCAACAGGTCACCACCTGCAACTTTTAAGTCTACAAAAGCCTCCCGAGGAGACCTGTTGGTTTCCGTGCTGGTAGATACGAGATGTTTGCCCGAATCCTGGCTGGCTGACAGTAGGCAAAAGGTCCTTCAACTTTCAACTCGGATTTGAATATCATCCCAACAGCACTGAGAGGTCCTACAAAAAGAGCTCCTACAAAAAGTGGATGTCTTTATCATCCCAACAGCGTTCCTAAACACTGAGACTTGCCACCCGGGATCCACCGGGAGGTGAAGAATCGCCGCAACTTCGTCCCCATGGATACGGTGGGTCATGGATACGGTCGGTGGGTCTGTGACCCCCTCGCATCCAAAAACAACGGTCCGTGATGATCGCGGGGCCCTAGGAGGTGGTGATGCAGTGGTGAGAAGCTGTCGAGACAAACCCGAGGGGGGGGCGGCAAGCAAATTGACAACACATGTCATATATATGTCATCAAGGCTAATTAATGTAAAGGCTGCCTATCAAAACCTCTCCAAGTATATACTATGTGTAATATATATATATGTATATGTATATGTATGTGATATTATGTTGTGGTACAGAATGGTTTGAGAAACCTCTAAATATTCTTAATCAACGATCCTGGTCACTGGAACGTAGATAGCATCTGAGCAAAGAAGGTGAAGCGTGATTCCTAAGCTCAGCCGATTTGGCACGTTCTGGACCGAGTGGTCATCGGAGAACTCGCGAAAAGTATCCGAGTCACTACTATCAAATCGAACAAAGCAACAAACAAAACGGAACCTTGCCTCCACCAATCATGCTGCGTTTCTGAGTTGGTGCCAGGTATGGACATACGGTATGGACTGGAGACATAAGGCAACTACAGTCTATATATATATACTGCATACTGTACATCTATAACCGTCCAGCGGCGCAAGAATGCTTGCAGGAGCAGCGACCGCCTCCCAAGAATGCTCTTTCCTACCCAACAAGAACATGCGCAACACGACCTGGAAGCAAGAAGCTGAACACTCTCTGGTGCTCTGAGCTCTGGCTATCACGTGCTTCCAGGAGTGCCAAGCGTGCCACATCCAATGATGGAACTTGCAAAGTGACCCCTTAAGAATTTTAAGATCCCCCTTAACCTCAATATAGCAGCGGTTTACGGAGTTTCGGGGTACCCTGGGACAGTAAATAAAAACGAACAAGCCTGAAGGCCCACGAGCTTTTCTGGGGGGTTGGTAGTCTTGCCGTATTTTGACATGAACCACACCCAAAAAATCGCGGCCATTTCTGAACTGGTCTAGGTCAACCCAAATCACCCACACACCTTCTGTCTCTCAGTGGCCCCAGCCAAGGGCTTCGGCGAAGCGAGTGGGCACTCCCACCGCCCAGGGGTTGGACGTTGCCCACCAGCCAGGGAGAGTCCTTGGTTGAAGTTGCTGCAAAGAGTTCACAGGTCGAGCAACGATCAACACATATCAAAAACCATCAGGAAACGATCAAACCTATTCTGCCCCGACAAATAACATACATACCTATACTATCTCTAGAACATAATCCTTGCATATCCTTGGTGTTTGATAGTATTATGGAGACTCTTAGGTAGCTTGCCAAGCTTGGAATACTCATTCACCCCCGCGGTCCGGGACACCCCAAAAGCCCCGGACCACAGACCCTTTGGGGTGTCCTTCTTCAAAGGTAAGCGATGGTCGCGTTTCTCCCCGCTGAGTATACTGTAACATGATGTTAAAGGTTCACCAGCTTCACAAGAGATGTAGTGGCCTCCAAATGCTGTCAAACTCCTTGGAGTCCGGAAGAGTATGTGACCCCTGGACAAGAAAATAGGAACGCAAAAAAAAATGCATGAAACTATTGCCCATCTTGTAGTTGAAGTAAGAAAATTATGGATCGCAGTTGATGCCCATCTTCTAGTTGATGTTGCACGCCAACTTTCCAGTGTTTCTCTGATCGCCCTGTACTGATGATCCCCAGTGCCAAGGGAAGGCTGCTCTGATGGGTAACCTGGCCGCACGCTGGAAACAGCTGCCAGGAACATAGAAAGTGACCAGCTCTCCTCTTCCCCATCATTGATGGAGCTGCATGTCCTTTCCTAAAAGTAAGGGTCTCCGAATGCAACCACCAAAGCTTGGATTTGTCCTTAAGGAACAAGGACAACACCAGGTCAACGGGAAACCGACGGCGAGCGCATGCGGAGCTGAGCCCAGGGTCTCATCACGCATCTTTTTGAGGCCATCGATGATGTTCTCAGGGCCCAGATTTCCAAAGACCCAGTAGTAGGAGAGCCTCAGGAGCTCCAGACTCCAGTTTGAAACAGTCAGGCTAATTATGTATATATATAATTGTGCCTCATGTGCCACATCATCTGCATCTTTCTTCTCGTGGGAGTCACCAGTGGGCCACCAAACCTCACCTCCGCGTGGCACACAAATAAGCTCTTGCGGCGATAAGAATTTGATTGGCGGGCAGATCATTTTTCAGCCTCAAAGGGGGCTCAGGGAGCTGGGCTCTGTGAACAGAATTGGATGATGGTGGAGAGATCCCCACTATATGTACCTTTGAGAGCGCGCGCCAATGTACCAACTCTTGATTCGGGTCTTGCCCCTATGTTGTTTCCAGTAGATGGTAGAGTCCAGGTACGACAGTAGCAAATACACATCACATGCCTCAATAAGAGGAATCAACAGGAATTTACAATATAGTTACTACGGAATGGTACAGTAGCTTAAAGAGAACGGAAAAGGTGCCAAGTTCACAAAAGTTAACAAACACACTTTATAGCTAAATCTAAAAAAAAAGAGGTATGAACAATAATAATGGAGCACCAAGCTCTTGACAAATCAGCCTTCCGCCCTCACCAACATTTCAACAGCTTCCTCCAGCGTCGAAGACTTCGGCAGGCTACAGTGAAACTAGCAGGTAGCATTTGAAGCTTCAGTTTGTAGAGCGTTGTCGGATTGTCTCCTTGATCAGGCCACTGTTCTTCAAACAGTTCGCAGTAGACTGTAGCCAACAAAGTAAAGCAATGTTGTGCTTATCATAGGGTAGGTGCAGGTCTTAAAAGGACAGCCACAGACTGAGAAAAACACACATGTTATATGAGTGGTAAGTTTAGCTTATGATTCAAGATCTTACATTGGCGTATGTTGCAATGAGCAATGAACAAAACATGGACTTGCTTACCTCCTTTGGATCAGCCTCCCTTGGAGAAGATCTAGCCTGCCAGCCTGAGTCATCTGTCCCAGATTCACTGACAAGGAAGGTGGAGAGTCATTCCTGATCTTCTACCCGACGGCAGCAACGGGAAGGTACATCTTACTTACTACAATTGATAGAAGTTTTACTTTTAAAATAACATTCAATTCCCAGTGGTGGCACAGTGAAAACTGATGTGGGAACTTAATATTTACAAACGTGCCTGGTATAATTCGGCTGAGCAATTCACTGGCTGCAACAAATCTTAGCATCCGCATGCATTTTACTTCAAACAATTAGCTGCAGCACGGTCCACTCTAGTGCCCATAAGCTGCTCAGCCGGAGATACATGCTGACTTGTTCCCCTTCTTTGAAACTGGGGGTGTCCCCTCAGCTGGCAAAACATGGCCACGCCGCAACGGTGCTTCTCATTCTCTGTGGGCACATTCGTGCGGCGGAATCAGGATGACGCTCAAAGATCTGCGTCTGTTTCTGGCTGAGCCAAGAGGGGTATAGCAGGACTTGCGCATGAAGAGGAACACACCCAGAATGTAAAATCTTGACTAATAGTCTTTCCACTTGATTGAAAAGCATCTAATGCGGCCCGTCATCAATCAAGAGCCTGATGCGACCGGACTATCTGTATCACACAGGCCCAAATCACAAAACAATAAAACATGTCCGAAATGCGGCGCGGGTCGAAAGAAGCCAGTTTCGGAAAGAGGTCATCAGCTAGCATGAGTTGCGGCTTGGTGACATGATGATCAGGAACTCCACGGCCACAATCACGAAGGCCACCACGCAAGTGATCGTCAAGGATCGTTTTTCCTGGTGTCGTCATAATGAGGACATGATCAGTGAAGAATACACTCAACCATCAGCGGTGCTCCTGCTATGCCTGCAAAGCCAAAGAACAAAATATGCCTTGGAAGTCAGATCAGGCTTGGTGCTTGAACATTGGAAGCAACACAGCACGCAAAAGGTCTGCAATCGATTTCAAAACCTTCCCTGTGTTTCGGACGAATCTGGAGACGGCGGAGGCTTGAATCTGGACGCCCGGAGCCATTGTGCTTTAAAACAAGGAATGCTAGGTTGGAATGCCCCAAATGTCCAACTCGAACTTACCCCGAGCCCGTCCTTCATGGTACTGCGTAATGTTGGCAAAGTCACAACAATGGCAAAGGCATACCTGTCGCTTCACGATCGCTTCACTATGTTCGCTGCCTCGAACGAGACTTTCCTTGCACCTTTGGAGGATGAAGACCCTTGGTCAGCGGAATCTATTGAATTGCCCGGCTCGCATACTACAATTTGTACTTGCGATCACAACTGGATTGAAAAAAAAACAATCCCAAAGCAAAGTGATTGTCTCAACATACGGAATTGAACCTCCTATCAACATCTTTGGACTTTTTTACACCAGAAACCAACTATATAGCTGGCTAACTTGCGTAACTTGGATCTGTATGTCTTATAGTAGTCGCAGTCTTGACTTCAACATACTGATGAGTGAACTCCTGCAGTATATGTGAGATGGAGGTCGTGGCTGCGCATCCGGACCCAGTGCAGAGTCTTTGGGTCTCAAGGAGTCAAACAAACAACATCAAACAACCAAACGATGTCATGCGATGTGAAAACCGCTGCGTTGAGTGCATTGTTATACGTTATATGCATGCGTTTTTTTTCCGTATCTTGATGTGTTTTTTTACTGAGGGTCGATTACAAATGTCGCCCTACATTCCAGGAATAGGTCAGCTTTACCAAGCAAGGCACATGATGTAGGAGAAGACCGAGAAAGTTCCCAGGAAGGACTCCTCAAAGCCGCACATGTGTTCGGGTGATATCGGCTTGCCGTGCCATCAGTCTTGCCGGGGCAAACCTTCTGGAGCACTGTCCCCATGTCCTACGGAACCTTTCCTCACTTTGGGTGTACCGACTCAAGGCTAAGCATTGGCAAGAAATCAAAGACCGAAAACCAGGAGCTGGGTCTATGAACCGCCACTCACTGGTCACTGCCCCTCACTGGTCACTAATCATCTTCAACCCAAGATTGCCAACTCGGCAAGCACTCTCTCTCTCTCATTATCTTACTCGTACCATGTGTTTCTCTGCTCGCACTTGCTCACACATGTCTCCAGGACTGTAACAATACAATGATCAATATTGGGAAAAGCTAGTAACATATAATTACCAAATACTACTGATCATATTGTCCAGTTGTGCTTCCAGTTCACAACCGTTGCTGTAACTGCTCCCCATGACATGATTCAAACATCGTATGCAGGTGATGCACAAAGCAACCAACTCTTGAACGAGGTCCAAAATGCGAAACCACTCGGAACTAGGGCTCTCGGTATGAACCAACGAGACATGTGAATATGATCCGGCACTCGCCCCAGGCATGCAAATGCCCCCCCCATGCCCTAGTGTAGTTCGGGATACTTCCCTATTGACCTACAGACCTACAGCAATCTACTTCTATGCCAATCAAAAGCACTTTTACCTCCAGGGCCTCTTCAAGGACAAATTCCGGGTACCGGTAGGTGAAGAATTTTAACATATTTAAATCGACTCTTCCCAGATGATCCTAGTAACACGAAGCTGGTAACAAAGGGCATCGCTACGAACAGCGCAAGGACGCTACGAACGTAGCTCCTGGCCATACTACTAGTAACAAGAAGCTACGAGTACTAGTAACAAGGTTAGATGCATGGGAGGGGGTGGACAATCCGACCAAGACGCCAAGGGCCCTGAAGCGCTGGCCACGTTGATGCCAAAGGACTGGAACGGCACGGCTTCGCTGCTCCTATTTTGGGTCTCAGTGCGGCACTGTCTGCCCACTCAATCTGTGGAATGTTGTTTCCGGTATGGCAACATCTAATGGTTGCTAACTATTGTGAAAAGGTGTGCCATGTAAGCCATGTATATAAATATTTGGTATTCACGTTGATGTATGCTGATGTATCGTGCTTGCAGCGTAGAAATGGTGGATGGTGTACAAGGAGCTCGCAAAACCACTCACCAACCACAAAGGGTTCCATTGCCGGTGTTTCAGTATTTTATCCACCCCTTATAACACACTGGTACTGTTGGGAGGGCATTCCCACTTACAACAATTGACAATAGTCTGACATCTTAAAGAAAAATCCGCGACTGAGAACCGCTGTGCTTTGCAAAATTGAATCCGGGTTGTGGTCGACGAATCTCTCCAAGCTCTATAATCGGAAAAAACACATATATATATATATATATCCCAGACACTGCATGTATGCCATATGTGCCTACATTGGGGTGGTTTGGGGTCAATGTAGGCAGAAAATTCCATACATGGAGTGTCTGGGATTGTGGGACATACGCCCCTTGTCATTGTATGTTGAATGCCATTGTCATTGTGCACCTGACCCTCCTAAAACGAGCGGTCTCTCGAAAGCATCTCTAGCTGGCCTCAGGACAAAGGAAACATGAACATCGGAATGTGTGTGCATGCCAAATGCATACATGAACAAGCAGAACTGGGTTGCGCCAAAATGTGAGAAATCCATCCTCCACCCGCCACTCCGTCGCGCAAGCATGCTGAGCCCATCCGCATGGATCCCACCGGCAGAAAATGCCGGGTTCTCACAGATCCGAGTACATGTTGCACTCTTGCTACCTGAAGATTCAACAAAAAACCTAATCAATGATTTGTCACCTGCTCATCGATCCACAATCAGCTGCGTATATATTTCTTGTCAATTGTTCTATTTTCCATCTTGAACATGTGTTTTCTTATTTAAAGTTTCAGCTGTAGGCATCGCAACTGAACATTGATGCACATTTATGGATGTTGAGAATGTCAGGAATTGTATGAAACTCCCCGGACTCAAGACAAATCAGGAAGTATATATATACACATAAGTTTCAAAGAAAGCCTATTGGCATGCATATTCTCAGTACTACATCATGTATTCACCCTACATACGTGTAACTCGTCAACTGGTGTTGTACATGCTTCTATGATCTTCTATGACTACCTGAAATCGCCTGATATGTTTTAGTGACACTGTTCCACAAGCTCCTGCAACTGTCGTGGAAGTCCTCTGCAGATTGGAATTCGGCAAAGGTCCCGCCATAGACACAAACCATGCCTTGGCCAAACTGTTGATGACTCTTTCACTTTCTTTGATGCCAAGGAGCAACGGCTTGGGTCTAATCTAACGGCTTTTGTCAAGGTGTAAAATGTCGTTTGGGCTTCAGCAGGAGGCAACCCTGGCTTTGCCCTCAGCCAACATGCTGCACCTTGTATAGCAGCCAATTGCGATTGGACAAGATCACATTGTAGATGGAACCACATCAGGAAAAGTGGGCAAACTGACTACATGACTTGAGGCCAAGGGGGGGGGGGCGAAAGCTAGCGCTCCAGAATGGGACAGTGGAGGGCAGCGAGGTAGGAAAAAACACGGCGATCTTTTTGGAGGCAGGGGTGAAGAGTCCTTTATATGTGGTTCTTTGCCCGGATCCTCCTGCGAGAGAAGAGAGAGAAGAGAGACGGAAAGACGAGAGACAGAGAGGAGAGAGAGAGAGAGAGGAGAGAGAGATGAGAGAGATATGAGAGAGATGAGAGAGATATGAGAGAGATGAGAAAGAGATGAGGGAGAGATGAGAGAGATGAGAGAGAGATGAGAGAGAGATGAGAGAGAGTTGAGAGAGAGATGAGAGAGAGATGAGAGAGATGAGAGAGAGATGAGAGAGATGAGAGAGACAGTGAGGATGAGAGAGAGAGAGAGACAGTGAGAGTGAGAGTGAGAGTGAGAGTGAGCGAGTGCGGCCGCAAGATACGCAACGCTAACCACATGCCAAAGAGCGACGACAGGACGGAGTCGAACTTGCGAAGAGGGGGTGGGAGGAAGACAAGGAGACAAGGAGACAAGGAGGAGGAGAAGGGAGGTGGGGAGAGGGAGGGGTAGAGGGGGGGGGTGGGGGGGGGGGGCTTCGACCTGAAAAATCAGGGGTTAGGATTTGCACCCGATCGAAAGAAACCTTGCTATCGCAAGAGTAACTCCAGCTAGCTTCGCTAGCTTTCGTGAAAAACGTGATTTAAAAAAGAAAAACAAATTCTTGCGGTGGATGCTATCCTTAGAACGGTTTGGGTACTTTCTGAAATTGTACTTGCCAACAGTTTACTAAAGCTTGTTGGTATTTCAAAAGCGCTACTTGGTATCGCCAGTTCCACAAAGCGCCACAAGATTGATCAAACATCAGGAAATGGCCAGTAATATGTGTGACACCCCAGAACCTTTGACAAACAATCAACACATAAATACTTAGTACACGTTCCATAGTTTCTTTTTTGTTCCTGTGTGTTGACACACTTTTGACACAGGCTGACAAAAGCCCTGCAGCTCCGATACAAAAAAGAGTCAGGCCGACTCCAATCCAGGCAGAATTGTGCAAAAGGCTTCCAATATCCACCTCAGAAACTCACCGTCCCGTCGGAGAGTGAAAACTGTGAGTTCTCTGTTTCGGACGGATGAGTATCGGCATACAATGAACTTAACCAACAACTGAAGATGTAGATGAACATGAGCATAGCATCATCCAGTCTAACTAATCTAACTATCTCTTATCAACGGATGAGTAGAGTGTCCCTCTTTTGTCATCTCACATGCCTGAACGAGTGTGCTTTCACGACCAGTCGTTTTCCGACAACCCTCTGGAACACATGTTTTGTGCTTGACAGCTCTTTGTAAATCAATCAACTTGGCAGCAAAGACGTAATTACTCGCTTGCGGAAGGCAGTCCAGTGCGACTTTGGTAAGTGGGTTCAAATGCAATTGCTCTTTGTAGTTGTCACATCATACCCCATAGGCCCATAGCCCATAGTTCCTCTTTTCCATCTTTTTCCACCCAGTGCCAAAAACCATTTCCGCCCGTTGATGTGATCCAAATCCGAGTCACAAAGCTATAGAAGAGAGTGGTAGAGGTGAGAAGGACTGCCCACCACTTGCGCCCAGCATCATTCACATCGCCCCCCAATGGCCAAGGCCAAAGAATAGGTGAAGTGAGCTGTAGATTGTGAGACCTCACAAGGTCTGTTTCTGGGACTCAAACGAACGTTACTCAGACACGCAATCACCAATTGTGGAAGATAATGGAAGATAGCACTCGATGAGCACTTCTCAACTTCCCTTCAAAAAACACACTTGAAAACCTCCCAGAATCTGGGAACTCACGTGACTCACTGTCAGAATCTTTACGAAATCGCCAACGAAATCGAAATCGGAATGAACCGCCTCCCTCTCAATTCCCCACCTGGGCGGCCCCACCCCTTTCAATTCATTTCAATAGTCCGGTATGTTATAACATGTAGACACTGTCTGAACTGTCGGGAATCCCCAAAACGGTCTGAGCTGGAAAATCGATCATATTCAACCGAACAAGTAATAAGTGAATCCTTGTTGATGCATCTGTTCGATTCACCTCAACCATCATCGCTTGGGTCGTAACCTAAATCCAGTCCCTTCATGCCGTCAAAAAGCCTGTCCACCTGTCCAGTAATATCCGTTCATGTTTGGCTAAAAGGGGGATTTAACCTTTGGCCGATGATTGACGGCACGCGGACTGTCGACATGTCGACAGTGAGTTTGATACCGCTGCACGTGGAGGTTGCTGATGGGCTCTTAATGCCTGTCTTGTGTGGTGTTTGTGCCCAACCATTCGAGTCGCTACGTACAGTAGGTGCTTGTATGCGCTTGCGCTGTGCCTGCATTGTCTACTGCAACCCCAGCAGAGGATCACACATCTCCCTAAGTGAGCTCCTGAGTATCCCCAGGGTTCCTGCAACGAATCAGAACATGCACGCTGGTATCAGTGTTCTACTTGCTGACTCGGATCAAAACAACCATGTCATGTCCCCATATATATCCCAACACCTTTTTTTTTTGCGTAATACATCCGTATCTGCTCAATCACCTTCTTGCTTGGTCTGTGCGAATCTGTGAGTGCCTCATCTCCTTGTTCCAAGAGCAAGCGAAACGTGCAGCAAGTCACCAGCAAGTCACCAGCCACGACAGCTTAAGACATCTTGAGACCATTTAAGGAACCCAAGAGTTCAAAACGGTTAGATCGGAAGTAACCTGAAGTGACTAGTCACAAACAGTGACAGTGGACTCAGTAGTCGCAAAATCCGCCCTGCGGTTGATAGAGGTTCATAGTACCAGCGTACCGGATCCAATGACAAGCCTATGGATCTACTTCAATGAATCAACAATGAATCAAGATGATTCTATGAATCAACTATCGGATCTAACTTCTTAAGTAGAAGAATCAACACCTTCTCAATCCTTCTTACAAGATCTCAAGCTCTATGGATCCCAAAAGGAACAGTCGACGTCATAGCTGCAGCCGCTTAATGCCACGTATGCCCGTTGCCCCTCGTCCCAGCGGCTCCAGGATCAGCCCCCCGAAGATCATCCCAAACAAACTCAAGGTGCTCGACACCGCGGAAAGCCACCAGCCCGTCCTGGGCGCCGAGCCAGCCGACCGATGCACGCGAGACTGCCAAGCTCGGCAAAGACGAGAAAGCGTTGGGTTTGGGGAGAAGAGATTTTCTCACCCAACCCGACGTCCACCCAACACGCTCGGGAAGATACCACTTGCTACGATCACGATGAATGCTGTCGGGAAAAAAAACAACAACCACATGGTGCATGGCGTCGTCGCACCGCGCGCAGCACATGCTGGTTCTTCAACCCTTTTTGGGCAGCTTCCAAGTGTCTTTCCCAAAGCAGCTTCCGCAAAGTCTTGGTAGGAGACCTCAAAGAGTGAAGTGCGCCACAGCCTCTTTTTTAGTTTTCTGACATGATACAGGCAAACGATAGGTGGTTTGGTATGAATTACCAGAGCCCGCTGTTATATACGTGTCTATATATATATATATTTATGAATGTGTGTGCGTTTTTTCAGATTTGCTTGGAGATGATTCGGGGTGTTCAATAAGCACCTCTGGTGGGTCCTGACGTATGTCTTCATGTCCTTTTCTATACTGAAGAAATCTGAAGGACAAAATCCTTCACCACCTGACATAATCATCCGAAGAATCCATGGCTGTCCCGGTGGCACCAGTGTGCTTCTTCCTTCAGCTTCAAGGCCCCCCCAAAAAACCTAAGAAATGCGCCGCGGAGTGCCACGGCCCACAGTCTTCAATCTCCGCAGCGGTTCAGCTGGTCATTAGATCCAAACGGATGTCCAACTCTGACACTTGCAAGGTTTTTGGAGAACAACAACTTGGACCATGATGCAAAATGAGAGATACAACGATCACTGGACCTTGTTCACACTGATTATGCCGGTGTTCGATTAGTGTTTATCAAAACCATTCGGATGTTCGATCTCAAAATGCACTTCTTCGACCTGGATTCAAACAAACAACAAACACTGCAACTGATCAAAGGGACATGCTTCTCAGTTTCGATCTGAAAACCGTGTGTTCGTTTTGTTTCACCATCTGCACCCACGGAAGAACACTTGGGAATGGATCAAGGACTTGGGAAATTGTTGTGAAACAAGGTAAAACTCTTGGGTTTGGAGCTGATTCATGTCAAGCCTGGGGATGTTCGTTCGTATTTGATGAATCCCGCTGGAGAAGTCCTACTAGATCCGATCTTATAGGTCTGTCTCAAGTGGTCATTGGGTGACTGGCGAGCACCCTGTAGCCCTAAGATATGTCAATTGAATTGTGCCCTTAGCTCAAAGCCGTCTCAAAGTCTTGCTGGTGCATGCGTTCCCCCTACAACGAAAATCAATACGGCCTCCCCTAACCAAAAAAGAGAACAATATCTCGCATGTTGTCACCGCTTCTCACTCCTGAGCGCGACAGGGCCACCCGGCCAGGATGCGCTCGCCGCGTGCTTCCAGTTGTTCGCTGGTGACAGCGACCAGATGGACCATCTCGGAAGTGATCAACACGCCCAGGAGGAGGACCTGGAGCGCCAGCGCAAGAAGAGGTCACCCTTGTGTTTACCTTGTGATGAACCAACAAATTGTGAAGACATGACAAGATATGTCTTGTATATGTGGCCCGTTTGTTCTGGTGAGGGAGGAGCATAGGGGTCTCCCTCACTCCAATACAGACATGGAATGGCCCCTGGGAAGACTGGAACTCTGCAAACAGAGGTGAAGTCCACTTCCAAGATTTTCAGAGAGAGTGCGAGAGAGAGAGAGAGAAAGGGCATACCCCTGTCTGTTGTCCCCTTCAGCATAAGGCTGCCCTAGGAAAACAAACCGATCAACACACCAAACAGGCTGACAACAGGCTTTAAAATGCGGGAGTGGAACCAAAGGTGGATCGATCCATGGTGTGTTACTAAAGTTCATTGATGTGGGTCTTATTGCCCGCTACCATTGTTTTACATGTAGAAAATTACACCTAGTAGCAATGGCCTCCAACCTAATAGTGATGGCCTCCAACCTAGTAGCAATGGC